TTCATTGATTTACTCGAAAACTATAAAACATAGAATGAATCCAAAAGATGCATATGAAAGTTGAATGTTTGGGGCATGTAGCAAGTATCGATATATTACTGTGGTTTCATCCGTTTGGCTGTAATACGCGTTGCTTTTATGAAATGGAGGGTGGGGAGGCGCCAAATGATTACATACTTTTGAGGGAGGCGTAGTAACATCAAGTTTGGAAACCACTGTCCTACTGTGTATGTATACATTATATAAAATTTTCTATATTAACTTAATGAACATATGTACATTAACCAACAACAATCTTGATACACTGCAACGTTTGTAAACGATAATTTTGATCAAAAATTATGTCATTATTATTTATTTTTCAATGATGCAAACATATCCGATGGAGCATATGATTGAATCTGGCAATAGATTGGGATTTAATTAATTATGTGAACGTAGCGAAGCCCGGCGGGATGTAACAAGCCCAGCACGCGTGCACCAGCCCAGGTACTCGGAAACAAACACCAGAGCATTACTTCCAGCAGCTAAGCGGATTTATTTAATTGAAATTAAAAGTTCACCGCTTTTTTTTCTCTCTTTTTACCTGGTAATTATTAATTGGAACCAATTATCACAAACAATTCTCATTAAATAATACAATTTAAAAAAAAAGCTAAAGATCTTTAAAGTATATGAGATCAACAAAATTAAACTTTTTTTCTATTGAGATATTTGCTTGTGTACAGTTTTTGTATAGGCGATAGTTATTTATTAATTTAAAGCAAATATTATTAACTGAAACAATATGCACGTCCCGTGTTTTTTTTGCGTTAATGTAAAATAAATATAGCGAAACAAATATTATTACAATTTTAATTAAATTCGCCCGCAGGGATGACGGCAAAATTTGCCCTTTTCCATTATATACTTCGTTTACATACAAAGTTATATACGTACATAACAATTAAATACAGTCTATGTATATCTATTGTAATGTACATTTTGAAAAAAAGGCTAAAATATTTTTTCAGCTCACATAACTTTTCAAATTATTATTTCTTAAATTATTTTAACTATTGAGTAAATTTATATATTGATTTGTATTAATATTATATTTTTGTCAGTATTCCTTAGTTAATTAACAAATATTTTGTATAGAAATATTCAATTTTGTATGTGCCAAAATGGCTTGATCAAAATGTTAATTGATATATTTTAATTTAATTAATAAAGAGAGAATGACGGAACGTAAATAAATATGTGTAATTAATTTTGAAGTTGCCGTTTCGATCAAAGGAATGAACGAGGGTCCTTTGCACGTCACGTCGAGCACAGTTATATAGCGAAATGGTCGTAGTTGTTGTTGTTGTTGTTCCTTATGGAGTCTCCAGTGTTGTTCCACTATCACCGATGTAAATTAATGCGTTGCGAAGTGCTCGGTTATATAAGATTTAATTAAAATCGGCGCAGCGAAATTAAAAAAAAAACAAACAAGAAGGAAGAGATCAACCCTTGATAATGAAAATGTTTAAAAAAAAAATGTATCATGTTGATTACTTCATTAAATTTCTTATTACTACCTACTCAATCTATTTATCGAAACTATTCATCTTGATCTTTTCTTTGATAATCTTCTAGCCTTCACACTTTATAATTGATTGAGGTATTCTAAACATATCTTTGATAATCAAGTAGTCATAATACTTACTAATTATGTTTATGATTGATTCCATTTTTTAATGATTATTACTACATTCTTTATACTTACAGCTATTTTATAAGGATTAGTATTCTTGGAAAAAAATCCTAGGAAATGGATGCAGCGTAAAGTCCTTGCAGGTCTAAGGAATAGTCCGTTATGAAAATAGTGATAGTAACGGCGTTGACGTAACTGCGACGATATTATTATTATTATAGCGATTGGTGTTATTACTTATTGTTGCGTTCGAAACGCGGAAATTGAATTGGAAACGATGCATACGAATCGATAAATTTCGATGTCGATTGAGTCGCATTGCATTGCGAGGTGCCTGCCTCCAGGTAGGCACACATCGTCGGCAGCCGGACAGGCTTGTGGCTGGTGGATGGTGGTAGGCACGACGGTCAGGCATGCGGAGGAGTGAGGCAGGCGACGATGACCAGCCGATGCGATGCATTCCACCGGCGTGACGTAACGTTGCTGGCGCGTGACCTTAGTGTGGTACTTCTAGAGGTGGTGCGTGCGATGCGTTCACACTCATTACTCCCAATTAAAATCGCAATTAAGTTGGTGCAAAGTGTGAATCGAGCATTGGAGGAGGAACGGGTACTCCTAGGTGTCTAGTCTACCCGCAAATCGTGAGTTTGCTACTGCTTGTAGTAATACTACCTAATCCAATAGCAAATTACCTGATATAATAGATAGAAGCTAAATAGTCTAAATCAGAAAATACAACAGAAAAATCATTGATTCTCTTAGAAAATCTACAGAAGTCATAACCTGATATATTTAATAGAAGCCAAATAGTCTTACTAGTCTAAATCAGAAAATACAACAGAAACATCATTGATTCTCTTAGAAAATCATCAGAAGTGATTACCTGATATATTGAATAGAAGCCAAATAGTCTTGACGAGTCTAAATCACAAAATAGGACAAAAACAGTTGATACATCCTTGATAATCTTAGAAATATCGCCAGGAGTGATTACCTGATATATTGGATAGAAGCCAAATATTCTTACTAGTCTAAATCAGGATATACAATCGAATCAGTTCAAATATCCTTGATCATCATAGCAATAGCGTCAGGAATAATTAGGTATAAAATAAATTTGAACTGATCACTTGAAAATGCATGATTATGCAATCATGCAATTTAGACTAGAAGCAAATCATGGGTTCATTAACAGCAGTTAGGGAAGATGTACAATTTAGATATCGAACAAGTTGGGTCCAAAATATCTATGAAATCAATGAAAATACATGAAATATATTGAACGAAGTTATAGCTACATCAGCTCCAAGGCTATAAAATCAAAATGACACCCTTAAAAATAATGCCTTTCGTGCAATTCCTTAAAATAATCGGGGTGACTATAAAAGTTTCCAAAGGTACAGTAGTATTTCAACTTTTCTTTATATACAATCTATTAACGAAAATATAACATTTTTATTAAGATAATTAAAAAAAAACATCAGTTTTTAAATATATTATGTAATATTTTTTAATTTCAAAATCTTTATCTCTTTAGATTAATCAATTAAAAACTTTCTGCCTAGTAATATCTGGAATTGGAATTAAATTAGATAATATTTTTTTTTATTTTGTACTAAAACACAATAGTTAATAAAATTAGTTTTTTTTCTCTCTCGACATCCTTTATGAAATTCGACAGCAAATGACTATTTTTTTTTGTTCGTTTGTGCAACGAACAGGAAAAAAAATTAAACGCAATTTTATTTGCAATTCCAGAGCAATTTATTTAATAAAATTGTAACAATTTACTTCATACACGCACGTACCGACAACAAAAACAAAACAACAACAACAAAAAAAACACTGGCTGCAACGAAACAATACGCGTTCGTAATTGAATTCAATGCAGTCGACTATTTATTTCGGGTAGTAACAAAAAAAAATATATATTTTGTTTTCTCTAACAAAATTTTCATTCGCTTACGCAAAACAAACATGACAAAAAAAAAATGTTGTCCATAATCGGTGTCGATATTGGTGTTTCATTATTTAAAAATTATTATATTTAAAAAAAAAAGAAGAAGTCCATTAGGGCAATTGGTATAAAATACACGGAAATACATAAACAAACTAAATGGATGCATGAGTTAATTAAACATAAAAATAAATATTAATTTACAAATGGGATTTTTCTCTCTCTCTCTATTTATATAGATCTCATTATTTTGATTGCTTTTTTTTGTGATTTTCGGTTGCAATTTGTGTGTATTGATTTAAGTCCATTAAATTCCACTGCGTTATTGCTGTGTATAATTATTCATTAAATTCAATTGCATCTGTGTGTTTTTATTTATTTATTTTTCTGTCGCTATCCAACATCGTGGTAATCGTTATGTAAATGTCATCGATAAATAACAATTAACCATTTAATTCCAACCGCCGTTTAAATTATTTAAATATCGAAAGGACAGTGTCCGAGCCATTTGTCTCTAGGTCGATTAACAATTCAATTAGTTATATGTAAAAAGCTTCTCATGCATATTTAAATCCGGTATTTCTTGCCGCCATAATCGATTAGTTATTCAACGGTAAATTGTATTTAATTAAGCTAAAATTAATTTTGACTACTTCCTTCTACACTGTCGGCTCTTGCTCTATGCTATAGATTCTATACTATACGTCTTCTTGTTGCTTTTACCTTTTTGTTGCTCTCTTGTTGCGCTCCTACTAAGTGGATTAAAGGTTAGGTTTGCTTCGAGATTACAAGCAAGTAGTGAGTAATTTTATACGCTGCGATATCTGATACACCGAACGTCAAAGATAAATAGAATAATCAAGTTAAACGCTGCTTCCACGACACTCCATCTCCGATGCCTTTTGTCCATTTACCATTATTACAACGACAACTTGACTAGAATTCAAACTAACAATTCTGTTAACTCTCACAACAGTATTCACTATATTCTAATATAAAGTTACAATTTAACTAAAAAAATAATTTGTTTCTTTAAAATCATGAAGTATAATTGGATATATTGTCACATTATAATCAATGAAAACAAATAAGAAGAGTAATGTAACATTCTTTATTAATATCTGGCTGAAAATCTTGAAATTTTTGAAAATTAATGTTTTTGCAAATCGTTTTAGGTAATGAATAAAATATGGTTAAGACTGAGGTTGGTACAATATTCTAATTTCCATATTCCAGTTAGATTCAGATGCTGTGATTGTGGTATTGTATGAAAGTGCCTCATACGAAATTCACGAAGGGCGTGCGTATTTCCAAGGGAAATAACGTCAGCAACGGGGTTGAATCTATGGTTTGCTTTATAGAATTCCATAGAAAGCGTTTGGGGAGAGCATTGAAGCCCGGCAACGAGTATTGTGAATAAATAAAATAATTTTGGCATTAAACGTAGTCCTGCGGGATTGTAGTCCTGGCTTGCATTTGTCAATATCGCAGGATTGTCCTTTGGTAACCAACATTGTTTCGCGACATTCGCACGCGATCCCCGCCGGATTAGAGTGAGCCCTTTTGTTAATCCCTATCCGAGCCGTCCCTGTCTGCACTCCTTCCCTCATCATCTCTCTCAAACATACATATAGTATGAATGCGATTCCATTTTGCAGAACGGCTCAGCATTCAAAGACTGCGAAACTTAATGGTTTCGGATAAATATCTTTCATAAAACAATTTGTGGGGTTTATTAAATTTTATCACTGCGACCGCGAGGAGTCCTCGCGCGCGAACCGAGATCCTTGCGCGCAAGGAGTGCGTGTAAAAGCTTGTACGAGACCGATTTATACGGGCAGTTTATTTTAATTCCCACTATTATTTTAAACTAAAAGCCACATTAGAATTAATCGCGGCTGCTCCGAAACTTGGTGCCCCGAGGCTAATTCTTATTGCGTAATCCTGTATAGGGGAATCCCCATAAATTCGCCTTCCTTCCTTCGTCCTTCGTCCTCCACCGATCCTAAGCCAGACGGATGAGCCAATTTG